ACACACACACACACACACACACACATACATACACACACACACACACACACACATACGATTACATGTAACCAGTAGTGATTTCAATTCTATAATCTTAATGAGGTTAATCTGGGTTGATGTGAAGACACCATAATGCCTCAACTAACTTGGGTCTCTTCATCAGACATCAAAAGACCGGGTCTGGTGTCGGTTTGAGAGCCCTGGGGCTTTAAATCACACTCACTCTTCTCATACTTACAAACCCAGCCTACAGCCAGTGACTCAGCATATACCAGCCATGGACTGCCAGGACAGGATCTGTCAATAACAACACAGCTTGCTTCCTCCATTGATTTGCTGTCACATTGTTTTTGTGGTGTCAAGACATGAACCCCCTGGCTATTCATAGCTTTCAGTCACGTGACCGGCTTGAAGATTTGGAGGGCAAAACATCCATAGAACTACAGCACAAGCCTGTCAATTTTACATCTGTTCCCCAGCCACAAATATTTAGATCACCTCTCAAAACAATAAAACAATACGTGATCGGCAACCGGATGTTTTTTATCTTATTGCAAGCAACTCGTCTCTGTTCTGGACTTGCACAAACTACGTTGCAATGCAATCGTTTTCCAAAATGTAATTTATGTGACAATATGAAGTCTGTAAACGCCCATAAACACAGGCCAGAGACGCTGAAGATGGGCGCACAGAGAAAAATACTGTAGCAGGCAGATCACTCACTGTTCATGATGCACGAACTATTGGAAGAAAATCCTCAATATTGATTTGGGGGTTTATATGAATGTGTTTCTGAGGGGAACTGACTGTCTTCAGAAAAGTTTACGTGGTATTTTCTTTTAATCTCGTCTCTGTATAGTTCATATTAAAGCAGTGTTTCAGCGCAGCACTGCTTTATTTCCAGCGGTAACCAAGGAAACGCCGTATCTGGTGTTCCAGAAGCGCCTCCTGCTGTCAGAGAGTGAATCTGCATCTCATTCAGAGCTTCTGTTTGCTTCGTTCAGGAATGTAGTATAATTTCACAAAGCCAGTCAGAACATTCTGTTTTTGCTTCAAATTGGGTTATTATTAAATCAAATTATGTATATGAAATTATATAAATGATATGTATATGAATTATATAACTAAAATTAAATAACTGTAATTTCAGATTTAGGTTAAATAAAGATGTCAGTCTTTTTCCCCTTCATTTTAGGAAACAAATCAAAGAAAAATAAACCAATTCTACTGTTCCTAATATTCTGTATGTTGCGCAAAAACAAAATATATTGTGTTCAGCGGAAAAAGTATTGTGTCATTTAAAAAGAACACATTTTAGAGCTGTAACGACAATACCGTGATATTTTTGCTTAAGGTTATCATACCGTCAAAATCTCAGGCCCATGCCTACTAGCGGCAATATTTCAATCATTAAACAGTGCGACAAAACGTTGTAAAAG